TTCAAGTTTAAGTTTAGTTCAATTTTGAACTGAACTTGAACTTGGCCAAAAGTTCAGTTCAGTTCAGTTCATAGGAACACTAACAGTAACAACCATATTCTCTATCTAAAGTTCATCTTCCACCTACCTCTATCCCCTAAATTATTACATACAAAAATTCTACAATGAAACTTAATTTCCTTCACGATATTGTATCACAATATCCATTCAATCCTTATCACTATCATTATATATTTTTTATATACAACACTAATGTTCAAATTTTCTTCCAGTACTACTTCAACATCATGATCCATAATGCATTGATATCTACCTCTGGAATCATACAAAGCAAACACCTTTTTGATTAACATTCTATCACTATCAGCTTTAATCCATCGCTTTATATTAGATAACTTCACAAGACCAACATCATCACAATGATTATCTTCATTACATCATTTCTTATCTCTAAACTTTGTTCATTTATTAATCCTTTCTTCGAACTATTAGTTCTATTTTCACCTTCACCAGATTTTTTATCATTCGCTGTTCTAATTTGATCTTCATAACAATAATCAACATATCATTCTCTACTAATATCTTGATTTACACCCTTATTGTTGTTTTCTTCATCCATCACTAACCATTTACCTTTTTTATTTCTCCTTTCAACGTTTATTCTATATTGATAACACTATCCAATATCATCCTATCCATCAAGACCTTTTACTTCATTTATTGCTATATCGATTCGATATTGATAACTATTATTAGTGATTTTTAAATACTATTCAAACACCTTTAGCAGATTTTTGAAGATAAGTGAATAGCATATATTCATTCATTTTAACTTCTATTTCATTTTAATAACAACATATGATCCTTCATCATTGTCCAATTTAGCAAATTTTTGATAATTAACAAATATTTTATGTTTATCATTTTTATTTCTATTATTATCACCTAGCCCTGTTGATTTTATATACTACTCAAAAGCCATACTTTTATCTTGGTCAACTCCTGCTTTATTACAACAGTTTATTTTGTCAACCTTATCTATATTATCATTGTCATCATTATCTTTTACACCACGTTCAAATATTACAAGCTCATTTCTTTTAACCCTAATCCTATCTTAATCACTTCATCCAAGATTGTTAGAAATTTCTGTTTTATCAGATTTTTGGTAACATATGGATGTTTTTCAACATCAATACCAACTTCACAAGATTTTGTTCTACCAGACTCATCGATTTCAATTTTAATTTCATTTTGACAACAATCACTAATGGTTTTACTATCATTATTATACATTTTGACATAACTTTCTATATTTGCTAGTTCTCAATAATGAATGAATGTCTTTTTCTCATCTTTTTTGACACCAATATTAGGATCATCATTAATTGTATTATTATTTATCACCAGAAAGTCCTTGATTTCATTTATTTTTGATTTTTGATTCATTAATATTTCTATTACTAACTACATTCTTTACTTTATTCATTACACCTTTCATTCATGCTTTCACTATCAATGCTAGTTGTTTAGCTTGATTGTATATCTCAGGTAAAAGAGATTCAACCTCATAAAAGTATTGTCTTTTTAAGTCAAGGATGTACTAAATCCTTTTTTCTTCTTTTGGAAGTTCACCATTTCACAACATCACATAACTATCATAATATTTAGTAAATTCTTCTACACTTTCTTTGTCACCTTGTTTAATCTCTAATATCTGCATCATTCGATCAACTATGTCTTCATCATTATAATAAATCGTTTCTATTTTCAACACTAATTCCGACTTTACTAACAGCTGACTCAATTGGTTTGACAAAAGTTACTGCTTGCCCAACTTGGTTTTGTGAAAGTTACTGTCTTGCCCAGGTTCTTCTCTGTCGTGGGGTTAATGAATGTAGGATATTCTATACTCAATTCTGCTCAGAGTTTGTTTAGTCTGCATTCACTTTATACACTGCTACGTTTCTTGCTCAATACTGTTCTCTTCTCAATAACAACTTCTCACAACCTTCTCTATACAAGGTACTAAGTCACTATTACTAGGTACAGATTATTCCTTAAGAAATTGAAGCTTGGGTTCGATCTGCAAGATCGAATCTCTATTTATTTAATTTCATTGTTTACATCTGATCACGTTTTATGATTAGTAATATGATCATGACGCATGATATTTGTTAAACTCTGGTACTACAAAATACATGGGTATCGTATAATATCACCACACTTTGCATACTATACAAGTATTCATTTTATAGATCTCGGGTCTTCTTATATTTAGTTCTGTCAAGATTAGCAGTATCTCATCTGATACTTGACTTGGAATATCTATCTTTTGTTTTTTTTTTCTACTTGTATAATTCTTTTTCTTATTTCTGTCTATCCATCTTCATGTTTTTCTCTACTTAAATTTTTATTCTTTTTTTCTATTAAACCATCTGCTATTTCTATCTAAATTTGCTTATTCTATATCTAAAGTCACTAAAGCTAATTTGTTTACAACTTCTCTCATTGGACTATCTATTGTAATTTTTTTCTATCTTGCTAATATGTGTGACCTTTTTTTCAGGGCTACTTTGTTGTTATTATCTTCTGTTCTTTTGCTTTTTTTTTTGCCAATTTATTTGCAATTTCATTATATATATTTCTGCTATGTTCTCTGACTTTTTTTAGTTATATTTTAAGATTCTTCAGCTTCTATATTTTTTAGATTTGTTATATAAAGCTTGTATTTTTGAGCTTGAATACTTCTCTTTTTTTTTCTATACCATTTTTGATCTTGAGTATTTGTGTATATTATTATTTTTGCATCTTCAAGAACTGCTAGTGATACTATCCAGATAGCTTTTAGTTTTGCTCTTATTAAGAACAGCCAGTTTTTGAGTGTATAGCTAAACCTTGTCTTCTCTTCTTCATTTCCTTTTTTGTAATCTGTGATTGCTATCTAGCCTGCACCTATTTGAGTTTTCTGTAGTACTTTTGCTTTTTTATATAGAGATCTATCTGTATAAAAGTTAACTTTTTCTACATCTTGTAGTTCTATAGCAATTGCTATTAGATCATCTTGTCTTTCTTTCTCTTCTACTTGATTTCTGATCAGTTCTTCAGATAAAGTTTCTATTTGATCTCATTTTGTATTTCTTGGTTATGTTTCTTCTCTTTATTTATTTTTTTTTTTTCTAGCTTAGCATCTCTGGTTTGAGCTTGATTTCAATTTCTTCATAGTTGGTTGCTAATTTCTTAACCTAACCTTTCTTTAATATCATTCTGTTACTCTGAAAATTTCTAGTGAAAAAGTATTATATGGATTCTTCTTTACTTTTGTTTCTGGAGCAACCATTGCATAGTTGGATTCTAATTTTATCTCTCTCGTTATCTTCTGATCTTGTCTAGTATTTTATATTGAAAGTTTTCTTCTTTTTGCTATACTTCTTCATTATTCTTCTAATCTCAAAAGTACTCTTTTCTTTTTTAAACAGGATCTATTTTTTGAGTCTCTTATCTGTCTTGATTTTGGTTAGAGTTGTTCTTAAACTCATATTGTTTCTTTTCTCTTTTTGGTACTTTTTTTTAACTTTTCTTGTTTCTCTGCAATCAATCACTTCTTTTTCTAGTTTCAGAAACTATTTTATTTTCTTTTCTCCTGTTCTTGTTTTTCTATACATTTTCATTTGTCTCCAAGTTATCATTCTTGAATCACTATAATTGAGTAGTTGTTTTAGTATGAAAATGTTGTAATTTTTGTGCTAGAGAAATTTTTGTCTATCTTCTTCTATTAGAATATCTGTAATCTCAGTTCTTTTCTCTACGAGTCTAAGATTCTTTTCGATTCCTTCTGACTGATATAAGATTTCTAATTTTTTGATTTTTTTTAATATTTGTATATTTAGATTGTTTTGAAGTTTAGATTTGTTTAGATTTTTTTCATCTAGTTCTAGAATATATTTATAGCTTCTTAGATTTATTTGTGTTTTCTTTAGATATAACCAAGTAGCTTCTCCTATTTCTTGTTTGTTGTTTAATCATACTAATAGTTCTGTAAAGTGTTATGTAATTTGTTATTGCCAGATCGATTATAGTTCTACTATCTTCTTGTGAGTTACTAGTGAATTTGGTGTAATACTTGCTATTTCAGCCTTGTTTTTAAGTATCTTTATCATAAAGCTCTGCAGCTAGTCATATCAATATTTTGATAGGATTTTTAGCTATGCTCTAAACTCAATTCTTGGTAGAAGAACCATATTGTTGATATATACTATATGTACTAGAGAAGCTTTCTTTTTACTGATTCATTTCATAACTATATATACTTTATTTTTAATGATATCTTCTAATTGCTTGTTTCTATTCTTAGCTGCTAGCTATATATTCAGAAATTTTGTTAGGTTTTTCTTTTTTTCCCTATTACTACTTCTTTATTTAGGCTGAAGTTGATTTTTATATTGTCTTTGTTATATTTTTTCTCTGGCTTTATAACTAACAGCTTAAACTTTTTTAGATTGATCTCGATATCATTTATTTTGTAAAATTCTTCTGCAATCTTAATCATTTTTTTTAGGTCTTCTTTCGAGCTTGCTATATATGTTGTATTATCTGTATATACTATCATTTCTATTTTTAGGCTTTGCCATTGGATTATGTTGCTTATAATATCTTTTGGCCATTCTACTACTATTCGATACCTTGCTTTTTTTCTTTTTTATATTGCTACTAATAAGGAGTCATAGAATATTCTCTATACTAGAAGAGAAATAACTTCCTCTTGGTCTATTCTATCTTTTGCGTTAAATATTTCTGTAGTTCTAAAACTTGTTATTATCTTCATTTTTCTTTTGTAGTAGAGCTGTAAAATAAAGCTCTTTGTAGCTTATAGCAACTTGATCTTTTCTAGTATTACATTTAGCATTTTTATGCTGACTGAGTCAAAAGCCTTTTTCATATTCTAGAAAAGCAATTAATCAGGTATATTGGTATTGCTATTCTTTCTCCTAATAGGCTTGCGAATTTTTTTTCTTTTAGTATCTTCTTTTCTCACAGTATTCGGCTCAGCCTGTTGTTTAGAACTCTAACTACTATTTTGCAAAATATTTCTAGAAGCAAGATTGGTTTTATATTATTCAAATTATAGCACTAGTCTTCCTTTTTTGATATTAGATATAGTATACTTAATTTCTATTTTTTTGGTATATATTTACTTGCCAGGTAGCTGCTAGCCAGTGTTCTGAATATTTCCTTTGCTCTTTTTTCTGCTTTTTTAAATAGAGAATATATTATATCTATAGGCCCTAGTACTAATTTATTCTTTGTAGATCTTAGAGCTTCTTTTTATTCTTCTTCTGTTATTTCTTGCTTTAGGTCTTGTAGTCTTCTATATTAATCTCTTCGATAGGTTTGTATATTTCTTTTCATCTTCTACTTATTCTTTCAGAGTTTATTTTTCTTTTTCTTAACTGCTTTTTGAAGTGTGTCTTTACTTCTTCTAATATTTCTTTTTCTTTTGTTAAGAATTCTTTTTTCTATTTTTTTCTTTAAGTATCTGGTCTATTTTGATGCTTTGGTATAGCTTTTTGAGCAGACTATTGATCATTCTTCTTTGATCTGTGATGATCATTCTATATTTTGCTTTGATACAGTTTTGAATCTCATTTTCTTCTGCTTTTTCTCTTTTTCTTTTCTAGTTCTTATATAATATTTTCTACCAAATTTTTGTTTCTTCATATGTAATTTCTTCTTGTTTTTCCTCTTAGCTTTCTAATATTTCTTCTTTATCTTTAACTCTTTCTAGCTTTTATCTTATTTGTATTCTATCTAATAAATTTTGCACTTCTTCTATAGTCACTTTATCTTTTTCTAGTCTTCTGTTTTTCTTAATCTTGTTATACTAGTTTCTAAGCTTGTGAATATCTTTTCTTTGTTTTACCAGATCTTCTGATAGTGTACCTTTCTTTTAATTTCTGGTATTTTTGTTTTCTTTAGGAGGGTTGAGCTTGCTGCTTTTCTAATACTTAGTTTTATAATATTTGGTTTTACCACAAAATTCTGATAACCAAAATCTCGAAAACCATAATCCTGATGTGACAATTAGTATTTAGCAAT